TCGAGGAATAAACACAGATGATGATGAATCAAACACTTGACGGATTGTACAGCAAGCGCCTTACCCGCTTTCATATCGGCAGTTACTATTTATGTACACAAGGTATTGAATAAGTAACTTATTGTCCTACATGTAAATTGACCATGAAACGCTTATCGGCATAATAGGTACATATTAATGAGATATCACGCGTGGAAACAACTTGCAAAGTTTAAGACCCTGTTTACATGGAGTGGGGGACCCCGGTCTAGTGGGGTAGGTTTCTTTTGTTTTCACGCTCTGGCGGACAAAAAACAAAAGAAACCTACCCCATTAGACCGGGGTCCCCCACTCCATGTAAACAGGCCCTAAGTCTTCTGATACAACCCTGTAACTTTTAGCCCTTTGTCTTACTCTGACAATAGTGAACTTACGCAATAAGACGGAATAGGAAAGACGACGGCAAACATTGTGTGACAAGCGTGACAATAATTTTGTTTGAAAAAACCTTCCGCCAAACTTCGCATTCCTAAAACAGATCTTTTTGTAGAAGAGCAAAAAAAAATTGATGTTAAGTGAGTTCCCGACAAAACACGCAAGTAATAGCCCCGTCACGTTTGCCGCTTTCAAGCGTTTCGCCGTCCTGTCGCGTAAACTCACTAATGAGTTAATGTTGGCCGAGAGGGTCTGGTGTACTAAATCCCAATCCTCACTTCTGAACATTTACTTCCGTCTCAGTGGATTGCAGTCCCTACATATTCACTTCCGCCAAGATCCGAATACCCATTCACAGGGTTCGCACAGTCTTCAAAAGTCCTTAAATTTTAGGGGAAGTCCTTGAAAAGTCCTTGAATCCCATTTTTCCTTAAAAAGTCCTTAAATTTCTCTGCAAGTCCTTGAAAAGTTCTTGAATTTTCTTCAACTTTGAATTTAGTGGCATGGAAAATTGTTTTTTGATGATGTTTGGTTGTCCAAGACAGAATATGAATCATAACTCAGAGCATTTAAAGGTTATTTATACAAAGTGCTCAATGTTTTATGCAATAATTAACTATCAATTTAAGAGAAGTAAACTGAAAAATGTAGAGACGTTGGTGAAGAAAACAGTTCAAGCCTTAGATCCTTAAAAGAATAGACTGGAAATGTGCATTTTTGTACAGTCCGTGAAATTATATTCCTAGTAGGTGGTCCTTGAAAATCTAATGTGGTCCTTGAAAAGTCCTCGAAAAGTCCTTGCAAAATGGTTGGAATTTTTTGTATGAACCCTGATTCACAAAACCTATCCGATGTAGCCTGTGTACAGACGCCCCCTCGCCTCAAAAAACGGGGAGAGAGTCTCTTTCCCCCCTTTTTTTTTGGAGGGGAGGGGGCGTCTGTACACAGGTTAATCCGATGTGACACTCCACTTTCTACTGTCTACGCTGCGTCCGAATCCGATAATACACCTGTGCAATGTTTCTTGGACTGCTGTTTTCAAAGGAAATACACGTCTAAGCCTGTAAGTGTATATGATATCATATATAAGAGAGGCAAGATCGCAAAAGTATCAAACTCTACAGGATACCCACTTTTATCTATAATGCCTCGTGCCAAACCGTGTAGCTACCATCTTAGAAAAGAAACTTGTCAGAAACCTAAGCTTTAAAAACTCTTTTATTAACCGTTTAGTTTTAAAAAAATGAATTAGCTTTGTAATATAGTAGATGTCAATTCTTACTTTTTAGCTTTTTATACCTTTAACTACATGTTGAATTTCTTAATTAATTACACTTACTTGTAACACAAGATATGTATTTTTATCTTTTGATGAATAAGATTTTATTATTATTATTATTATTATTATTATTATTATTATTACTATTATTATTATTATTATTGTTACTTTCGAGATCGGCACGACGCTGCTTCTCAGCTACGAGTTTCGCGCAGGCGCAAAAGCTATCCAGTTAAGTCTGAACATAGCCTTAGTCCGAACACAGCTCGCCTGCGCATGCGTGGCAGGAGTTTGGAGAGGAAGAACGCAACCGTTCGTAAAGATATGTAAAACAAATGTGTATGTCTTCTATTTGGTTACGAGATGATTTACTGGAACACATGGTTCGTACAATCTTGAAAAGGTCTTGAATTTTAGTAGTTGTCTTGAAAAGTCCTTGGATTCAAATAAGGTCCTTGATTTAGNAAATTTCTGTGCAAGTCCTTGAAAAGTTCTTGAATTTTCTTCAACTTTGAATTTAGTGGCATGGAAAATTGTTTTTTGATGATGTTTGGTTGTCCAAGACAGAATATGAATCATAACTCAGAGCATTTAAAGGTTATTTACACAAAGTGCTCAATGTTTTATGCAATAATTAACTATCAATTTAAGAGAAGTAAACTGAAAAATGTAGAGACGTTGGTGAAGAAAACAGTTCAAGCCTTAGATCCTTAAAAGAATAGACTGGAAATGTGCATTTTTGTACAGTCCGTGAAATTATATTCCTAGTAGGTGGTCCTTGAAAATCTAATGTGGTCCTTGAAAAGTCCTCGAAAAGTCCTTGCAAAATGGTTGGAATTTTTTGTATGAACCCTGATTCACAAAACCTATCCGATGTAGCCTGTGTACAGACGCCCCCTCGCCTCAAAAAACGGGGAGAGAGTCTCTTTCCCCCCCTTTTTTTTTGGAGGGGAGGGGGCGTCTGTACACAGGTTAATCCGATGTGACACTCCACTTTCTACTGTCTACGCTGCGTCCGATTCCGATCATACACCTGTGCAATGTTTCTTGGACTGCTGTTTTAAAAGGAAATACACGTCTAAGCCTGTAAGTGTATATGATATCATATATAAGAGAGGCAAGATCGCAAAAGTATCAAACTCTACAGGATACCCACTTTTATCTATAATGCCTCGTGCCAAACCGTGTAGCTACCATCTTAGAAAAGAAACTTGTCAGAAACCTAAGCTTTAAAAACTCTTTTATTAACCGTTTAGTTTTAAAAAAATGAATTAGCTTTGTAATATAGTAGATGTCAATTCTTACTTTTTAGCTTTTTATACCTTTAACTACATGTTAAATTTCTTAATTAATTACACTTACTTGTAACACAAGATATGTATTTTTATCTTTTGATGAATAAGATTTTATTATTATTATTATTATTATTACTATTATTATTATTATTATTATTATTATTATTATTATTATTGTTACTTTCGAGATCGGCGCGACGCTGCTTCTCAGCTACGAGTTTCGCGCAGGCGCAAAAGCTATCCAGTTAAGTCTGAACATAGCCTTAGTCCGAACACAGCTCGCCTGCGTATGCGTGGCAGGAGTTTGGAGAGGAAGAACGCAACCGTTCGTAAAGATATATAAAAGAAATGTGTATGTCTTCTATTTGGTTACGAGATGATTTACTGGAACACATGGTTCGTACAATCTTGAAAAGGTCTTGAATTTTAGTAGTTGTCTTGAAAAGTCCTTGGATTCAAATAAGGTCCTTGATTTAGTATGGTGGGTGGCACGAAGTTGCCATTAATGTCGCGACCGTGTGGAGCAATATCTTCTCTCACTCTCTTTGGAAGTACCGTAAAATTCCGAAAATAAGCCCCTCCAAATATAAGCCTCCCAAACCAGTAACGTAAAAAACCCTCCGTTAAATCGTCCCTCCAAATATAAGCCCCCCGGGGGCTTGTAATTGGGAAATTGCCCTCAAATACAAAGTAAAACAAGGCAAAAACGGTAAATTTACTTCCAACTATAGGGCTAGCCCAATCGATTTTGAGACGCAAATTTCCCTCCGTAAATAAGCCCATCCGAATATAATCCCCTCCAAAAATAAGCGCCTCAAAAGGGAATTTGAAAAATATAAGCCCTAGGGCTTATTTTCGGAATTTTACGGTATCGCCTTTAAACTTCCAAAGTTACCTTATTTTAAAGCCCCCTTTTTAGCAGTGTTGATGGATATTCGTGTACTGCTCTTCATCTAAAGTTGAAACAACAGCAACAACAACAAAAAAAAACCGTGGAGGAGTCTATTCTCCATGCCAAGTGATTAAATCTTCTTGCACGCTCGTTTTTGATGAATGTTAACCATCCAGTTTACAAGCACGGATTCAAAGTACGATACCGAGAAGATCTTGTAGAATCGTCCATACTAAAACTCTTTATCGTCCACTTTATTTTCAGCATCGCTGCTCTTCAAGTTGTAAGGAATTCTAATGCATCTTTTCAACGACCGGCGAAAGGTGGCATGTGACGAAAATGAGCAAGCCAAGGCATGATGCATCATGGGAAGGACGAGTCTGTGACTTTGCTCCTAAATAAACATAGTGAGAGGCGGCTTCTTAAGAGGTAGGGTTGCTTGGTTACCTAAATTGCCCCAGATTGACGTTGATCCAACTTGCGTGTATTATGCAGTGGAACCTCTCCGTTAGGGCACCACCACCACCACCACCATTAGTTCAGAGGACACTTAATCACACTTGCCTCGGTTCCGAAGGTGTCCCTTGAACAGAGGCTCCACTGTATTGTAATCGGTCAAGTTATCTGCTTGGAAAAACTGCAAATTGCTTTTATCCTTTGAATATTATAGATTCAATTTGGGATAAGATAGCCGTGTTGTAATTTCTGTTCAGCTTTCTGGGAGCCCTTTACTCCGGAGCGTCCATTTTTCACTGACAAGTGTCACAGTAACATAGGCTGTCAGTCTATTTTATGATTTCTTTTCTCGCGAAATTCGCTCTGTCCGCAACCGTCCGAACAATCCAAGATGGCAGCTGATCCTCTGTGGGCTGTTTGGCCCATTTATTGTCATCCGCCATTGCTGAAAATCCTACTCTCCTCTAACTGATCGCAGAGTGCTCTTCAGCGCGAAAAATGAATCTTTTAATAGCCTGAATAGCTTGAAAATCTGGGAGGCTTTGATTCAGCTAGGCCTCATATAAATGATGAGCTCCCTTGGAGGCTATTTTTTGTTTGTTGTTTTTTTGCATATTCTTGGCGTTTTTAAAAGGTCATTTCTCGATGGCCCCGGACGTTTTTCTTATCGAGTTCTCGTAATTATTTTCTTGAAGGCCTTCCTGAATTCCTTGCTTCTCCAAGCATAAACAGCTGGATTGATACACGCGCATAGAGAAGCCACTGTCGATAAAATCTGCATAATCAGTTTCATGTCCTTGCGTTTTTCCAATTCGAATTGTTGATACAGAGTCCCCACAAGAAGGGGGAAAAAGCAAAACATAAACCCACCAATAACGATACCGTATGTTGCAGCTGCTTTGATCTCGAGTTTCCTGACCGCTCTCCTCTCAAGATGAGCCACGTTTTCAAGTTTTCCCCTCTGATCACATGAAACTTTAATGATGTACATATAGCTTCCCAGAGTGACAATAATCGGCAGTATGAGAAACAAGGCAATGATCAACGCAGCGAAAACTTTGGAGGTGTTCTCGAAGCTGTGATCGTACGGGTGATGTAGGCAGAAATGGAACGTGTCGTAGTAATCGACAAAATCTTCGTATTCCGAAGTCGGTAGTGAGTGTGGAAACACAATAGTTCCTGTTATTGCCAAAAGCCAGATGGCGATAACTGCTATTTTCATCCGGCGGCGTGT